CACGTTCTCTCTCTCTCTCTCTCTCTCTTCTCTCTTTCTCCCCCCCCTCTCTCTCTTTCTCCCTCTCTTCTCGCGCTATCTCTCTGCTCTCTCTCTCTCTCTCTCTCTCTCTCTCCCTCTCTCTCTCTCTCTCTCCCTCTCTTTCTGCCCCTCTCGCTCTCTGTCTCTCTCTCTCCTTCTCCCCCCTCTCTCTCTGTCTCTCTCTTTATATATATATATATCTATCTCTCTCTCCATCGTCGCAGGTCTGCTGCATAGCGTGCCGGAGAAGGATGCGGGGCGGGTCGGGGAGCTACTGCAGGAGTGTGTAGAGGAAACGGGTGCTGGAGGAAGGCTTCAGGCCATCGAGGAGCTTGACGAAATCCTCATCAAGTACACGAGCGACGACGGTAGGTGTGCATGTATATATGTGGTGACGGTAGGTGTGCGTGTATGTATGTGGGGCCAGTAGGTGTGCATGTATGTGTGTGGTGACGGTAGGTGTGCATGTTACAATGCTAGGGCCCTGTAATAGCAGTTAGCAGTAGTTCCCAATGCTTGTGGTTTCAGTAAGTCTCACAAGAGGAGCTGTCGTTGGCCTTTCTATCGTTGTGTCACTTCTGCACTGGAGCTGCTAGAGAGGGAGGGAGTGTGGAGGCCTTCACTTGGTCTGCAATGTTAGAATGCACCGGTTGCTTTGGGAATCACTCGCACTCTTCATACTGTAACCGTAGTTTTCTGCTGTTTGCAGTTGACGAGGAGGAAGATGCTGAGGATGATGAGGATGAGGATGCAGATGAGGTTGAGGATGAGGAAGAGGAGATGGAAGCAGACGGTGACGTGGGAGAGGAGGCATCCGAACAGGACAAGGAGGCCGTGGAAGAGAGCAAGGAGAAAGATTCAGCACATGACTATCCTGGAGATTTTGCGTGAGGGTTACTGCGGTGATGGAAGTTAGCCAAGCAGGTGTGTGGAACGGATGCGCAGTTAAAAAAAAAATATTCTGTGGTATCAAGACATTGAAGTAAATTTATGCATAATAGGAGTATTCGTTCTAGCATATTCACACTCGTGGCTAGCACCTACTTTCTGACATGGCGAGATGTATTCTATTCTACCATTCAAACAGCATTTTTTCATTTGTAGTCACTTTGTGACAAGTATGATTACATTGCGTTGCATTATATAGCAGCTAAAATGGGCCTAACCTTTTGTTAAATTGTGTTCATTTTCACGGGTCATTGAACACAGTATTCACAAAGGCACAGTTCAGATCACTTTTACAAACTTGTTTTAATTTGTGTACTATGAGTTTCTTATTCAACACAGCATTAACGTTCATAGACAGGAACGTATTTAATGGACAGGATGAGTTATAGACAACATGTCTCCTCAAAGTATTGCTATCAGTTTTGGCCGGATTACTTTCTTACCTGTTGTGGGGGCTGTATAGAGTTTCATACTCTCTCTGAGCTGTCTCCGAATATTTCACTTCGTATCGTGGCAATGCGTCGTCGTATTCTTACCACAATCCATTACCAATGGGATTATCAAGAGTATATACAATAGATCAGTATTATCTACTATTCTAATTATATATCAGTTCTATCGGACAATCAGACTTTGATGAAACTAAATGAAGGCACCACCGTGTCATGTAGACCGTTAATTATCGGTTTTCATTAATAATTTTAATTTTCGGTTAATAATCTCCCTACGTTTTGCAAGAGGAGATGCTAATGACATGGGTTCGTACGCGATGTGCTGGCCCTCTTACCTAGTTTTAGCAAAGCCCAATACTGGCACGAACAGTATATATATATATGAGATATAGAGGTGCTGATTAAACTATGAAGCTGTGCGTATATAGCTCATAGTGATGACTGCGAATTCAAATCGTGCGTCATATCGTTTAGTTAAACTTACTGGTCCAGATAGGGTTCGTTTCGTACAAATTTCGCGTTTAAGATTTTTGTTATGCCAAAGGCAGCGTATGTTCTTGCTGCCCGTGCACTGCGTGCTACGTCTTGCTTAGAAAGGCTAATGTTCTGTGATTAATTCTCTTGCGAATTCTGATGGTTACTTGTGATTGTGTTTTCATGTTAACGTTGTTTTCATGTGACAACATGGCGGATCTCGAGCGGCAAGCGACGACAGTCAGTATATGACACGAGCCATTCAACTGAGATTTAGAGTATTTTTAGACTTTTTTGTAAACTCAAGAGGAGCGAGTTATGCAGCGTGAATTTTCGCGTAGTGTTTTACTACGTCTTACGTAACGTGAAAATTGAACGTCCCTTCTTCCCACCAGTCTTGTCCCACGTCACGAATGCTTGTGTCGTAATGCAAGCGTGGCTATAAATATGTCAGCACATTTAATCGATGAAACAAAGCCAACAGCAAGCATTTGTTGTTTGGCTCATGTTCATACAGTAAGCAAATTCGAATTCGGTTGCCAGCATAATTTTGCTGCGTCTCATGTCAATCAAACGCGAGTTCCTTTTCAGCGGCAGCAACAGCTGCAGCATTCGCATCAGCAGCAGCAGCGGCGGCGGCGGCAGCGGTAACATCAGCAGCAGTAATAGTAGTAGCAGTAGCAGCAGCAGCAGCGGCAGCATTAGCAACAGCTGTAGCAGCAGCAGCAACAACAACAACAGCTGTAGCAGCAGCAGCAGCAGCAACAAGAGCAGCAGGAGTAGCATCAGCAGCATCAGCAGCAGCAACAGCAGCAGCAGCAACAGCAGCAGCAGCAACAGCAGCAGCAGCAACAGCAGCAGCAGCAGCTCTGGGTATAAGCTAGGTCTGCCGCCTTGCATGATCATGACTAGCTTGTCGCGTGTGCGTTTTTGTTCGCATTGCGTAATATATTCTCCGTGTTGAAAACTCGCATAATAGCTCGCGAAGCTAGCATAATCGCTACTTTTATCCCATACATTATGCAATCACATAAAACTGTGACGTCAGCAGCGCATGACGCGCGTTCTGATTACGTATGCAATCATGAAGCCAATAGGAATATATTAATATATGAGTATCATAATATCTTTACCATGCACACCCTACCAAGGCCTATAGATCTAAACACAGGTTAGGAAGACGCGCCACCTAGGCGCCATATCTATAGGTGTTTATATCGATAGGTCTTGCACCCTACGTCAGTTCATGACAGCATTAATAATATGGACGGTGTTGTGTTCGCGCAGTATTTCGGCATATATATAGAATACAGATATCTGTAATACGGAAAATCGGTATTCTATATCTATGATTGCAGCTGTGTTCCCATGGCAACACGATTCGACGCTTTCATTTCTATTGGTTCTCATCAAAGATCATATAGCTCCATAGGCTATAGTGCCTAGAGTAGTATAGGATAGGCTATAAGATAGTATATAGAGCTTATGGCGCTATATGATCTTTGGTTCTCATTATCGAGAGTTCGCCCAGAGAAACCTATCGTGGTTTCCTCTGTGTATTTTAGGATTATTCTAAGTAGTTATTGCGAGGCATGCGTCTGTAGCCGCTTTTACAGTGGGTGCAAGGCCATGAATCTCTAGTATGAGTGAAGAGAGTTAGACTATTTCATCGTGCTATTTTATATCATAGAGTTCGTGTACACGTGATTGTATGTTCAGTAGATGTAAACACAATTTATTCGTAAGCGGCGGTCAAGTTGGGCTGTAAAGTTGCCGTGGGAGTTTCACACTGTTATAGAGAAATAGCTGGCTTAGCTTGTGTTTTACTAGGGTATATATTTACTGTATTATAAACCGATACCATATCATTATTACTGTAAATAATCAGTTTTTAAATGTTGGCCCAGGAGTGCAGCCACGGGTCCTTCATATTGTTTCGTGTTCATCTATATGTTTCCGTAGATGCCAATTCACATGTTCGACATTGATCAGCGATGCGTTATGTTCAGGAATGTTCATTACGTTCCACGATCCGCCATGTTTTTGTTGGATGATGCCATCCATATATGGATATGTGATGGCCAAATATGAACATGAACCTATCCGGACTAGCATGCATAGGTTCGTGGTGTTAGCAGGCTCGTTAGTATAGGATTTTTAGTTGAATCTGTCGTAAATGTACGAAAGCGCGAGTTTGAAACCGTATTTGTAACGCGAGTATCGCGCCTATATCTGTACCTGTGATTGTGTGCGCACCAGTTGTGTGGCGATTCGTTTGATTTCTAACTGAACCCGGTTCCACAGACGTGGATTAACTCTTAACTCTGAGTTAAATTCCTTAACTCTGAGTTAAAAGTTAACTCAGGGTTAAATTCCGTTCCACAGGCGTGGATTAACTTTAACTCTGAGTTAAATATGCCTAACTCTGAGTTACTTAACTCAGGATTTAATCCATGTTTATGAAACCCAAATTTAACTCGGAGTTTACTAGCTCAGAGTTACAGTTAATCCACGCCTGTGGAACCGGGTCCTGGATTGTGGCGATGATTTCGTCGTGTCTGTAATGTATAATTGTAGCACATTGCGTTCGTAGCTACGCTGACCCGTTTAGCGTGTGTCTAACCAGAACCTGTGCGTTTGTGCGATATTACACAGGCACGTAGTGAGTGTGCGGTGGCTGTCCTCTGCTGGTGTGCGTGCGCAGGCGCGTGTGCGTGCATTTCGCCTCCAATCGCAGCCTGTGGCAGTCGCGGATGAGCATCACACTAATCGTCTCAGTTCAGGGTATTCATGATATCAGGAGTATGATAATATAGGATATCCTATATTATCTATGTAGGATATCCTATATTATCTTACTCCTGGTGATATCAATAGCGTATAAATAAGGCTATATACGCCTTCTTTATACGCTCTTGATATTTTATTTCAGCGGTAAAGTGAATCGAAACGAAATATTCAACACAGTGAATCTGACACGATCACACTCTTTTAGTTCTTTAGCTCTAGGGGCGTTGAATTTAAAGTTTATTTGAATATAACGAGCAACCGTCGCAGTTAGGCATCCACCTCTCTCATACACACCATCTACTTACGCCTCTTGCATTCGTTACAAATCGGCCGAGACCAGCTTAAAAACGTCTAGTCACTTATAGAGCGGCTGTACATAGATATGTTCTGCACCAGCATGCTTGCTTCTAGACAGCACAGAGTAATTATAGCATACGTGTAGCATCGGGTATGTTTTTATACGATAGACGGCGATTCATGTGACAAACGGTATTCTTTCAAAAGCTTGTTTTAGAACGTGTGTACACGGTATATTACAATTGTTTTATTTTATGTGTTATCATTCGGGGACAGATTTGATAATAAATCTTTTTGAGAGAATATTGTTGTTTAAATGTTTTATATTCGTTACAACAGTGGGCATGTACATGCAGGCTTATGCGTGCGTGCGTGCGTGCGTGCGTGCGTGCGTGCTTGTGTGTTGCTACTAGTTGCGGTTGTTGTGATCGGTCATTGGCAGCCATCGCGTTGACCTGATCTCACGCTCTCCGTGACGTCACGGTCTCGTCACCTCGACCTCCTCCGTCGCCGCAACATCCTCGGCCGCCGCCGCTGTCGTCCCCCGCGCTCGCAGCTTCTTCAGTCTGCGGATGAGCTTCTTTAACGGCTCCTCCTCCTCGCGTCGGCTGAGTATGCGCTCACAGAGGATGCGTATCTCCTGCTTGCTCATGTAGTTTTGAAGCTGATTCTTTAGGATGCTGATCTGTGAGTGAGTGAAATTCGGCACAACGTCAGAACACAATGTGCGAGGCCGCCTCGCTTTCAGCTACAGGACAGATACTTGTACGGTATCTCCACTTCATTGCGAGTAATTAAAAAGAAAGTTTGCTTTGTTTCTATTCACTTCTGATTCTATCACCTGCGTAAGTACATTCCCTTTTCTTGTGGCTACTGCTTTGTGCTTAAGGCTTCACCCCACACTCATTAAACAATTTAATCCTTTCATAAATTTCTTCTTCACTGCTTTGTTTATTACATTAAATTTTTCGTATGATTATTATATTTATTTTATCATATT